CACACACACACACACACACACACACACACACACACACACACACATCTGGGAGGAGGCGGCCCACGGGGTGGGGCGGACAGGACTGGGCGGTCCGGATGGGGCCAGTCCCAGATGTAGGAAGTCCCAGCCTGCCGCAGGCGCCCAGGGTAGCGCTGCAAAGCCCTAGGACGCAGTCCGTCATGGAGGCAGATCCGCCGCTCTACCCAGTGGCGGGGGCTGCGGGGCCCCTGGGGGATGAGGATCGATTCGGAGTACCTGATGGGCCAGAGGCTCCGGTGAGCAGGGCTGGAGCCTGATGGGGCCCGGGGAAGGAACCCGGGCAGGGGAGGGATGCAGCCCCTGGGAAGGGGGACCTGGACTCTGGATGAGGGACGGGGACCCAGGAGTGGGTGGATCGGGACCCCCGAGTGGGAGACAAGGACCCCAGAGTGGGTGTATGGGGACCCCGAGTTGGGGGGGGCAAAGACTCTGGAATAGGGATGGGGACCAGGACTCTGGTTGGGGGGATGGGGACCCCAAGGGAGTGGGGGACGCGGAGCCGGGGAAGGGGAGGCGCAGGAGCGCGGGGTGGCAGTGGGTGCCAATGTCCTGCGGTCCGCAGCTGGACGAGCTGGTGGGCGCGTACCCCAACTACAACGAGGAGGAGGAGGAACGGCGCTACTACCGCCGCAAGCGCCTCGGTGTGGTCAAGAACGTGCTGGCGGCCAGCGCGGCCGGCATGCTCACCTACGGCGTCTACCTGGGTACCACGCGCCCCGCGCTCCCCAGTGCGCCCTGCTGGTCCCCCTCCCGGGCTGGGAAAGAGAAACCCTGCGGTCAGCCGGCCTTGTTCCCCTTTCACTTCCCTTGGCCGCGGTCACAACTGCAGCTGCAACGGCCGGCTTGGGACCTAGAGGGGAGGATGGGTGTGGAGGGAGCCGGGTCAGGGTGCCCACGCCCCAGCCAGAGTCCAGGTGCAGCAGGTGGGTGAGTGGGTGCCCTGTCCCCGCTACCCCGGTCCTGTGGCGATGGAAGGGGGAAGCTCGGGTCGCTCGAAGCCAGACAGATTCCCCCGACCCCCCCCCCCCCTCCCCAGGCCTCCTGGAGATGCAGCTGATCCTGCACTACGATGAGACCTACAGGGAGGTGAAATACGGCAACATGGGGCTGCCCGACATCGACAGCAAGATGCTGATGGGTATCAACGTGACGCCCATCGCTGCCCTGCTTTACACCCCCGTGCTCATCAGGTGCCAAGCCCCTGTCCCCTGGCCTCCAAAGGCTCACAGACTTTTAGCTCTGGTGTTTTGCAGGGAGGGAGGCCTTGCTTGCCTGGGAGAGTGAGAAAGAGAAGAGGGAGCCCCTGCTGGGGCAGGAGCCAGGCCTATTCCTCTGTACTTTTGGTTTCTAGAAGGCTCCGGTGACCTGGGTACTGGAGCTGTTAAGTCCCCTCTGGGACCAGAGCAGTCAGCACAGCCCAGGTCCCCAGCCCTGGCCCAGTCAGCTGTGACTGTGTTGAGGGCCAGTTCTCACAGAACAGAAAGGACCTTGGATGGGCAAGGGCTTGGCCTGGAGGTCTGCCTGAGCCCTGGGTGGTGTGTGTGATCCAGTATCCTAGCCACTGCAGAAGTCCCCCTTAGCACCCAACCTGCCTAGACTCTAGAAAGGGTAGACAGGGTAAATGGGTCCCTCTGTCATTTTTTTTTCCCTCTTTAAAAAAGTATCCGGTCTGGTGTGGTGGCACAGGCCTTTAAACCCAGTACTAGGGAGGCAGAGGCAGGTGGATCCCTGTGAGTTCAAGGCCAGCCTGGTCTACATAGTGAGTTCCAGGACAGCTGGGGCTACAGAGAGACCCTGTCTCAAAAACAAAACAAAACAAAACAAAACAAAAAACAAAAAAAAAAGACCAAAAAAAAAGTTTCCTTTATTTTAAAATTTTATTACATTTTTACTTATTATTTTTTTTTGTGGGGGAGCAAGCCCAAGCCATGGTGTGTGTATGGAGGCCAGAAGACAACTTTTGGAAGTCAGTTCTCTCCTTCCACCATGTGAGTCCTATAGATTGAACTTGGGACATCAAGCTTGGCAGCAAGTGCCTTTACCCTCTGAGCCATCTCGCTGGCTCCCTTTGCTTCTTTTTGCTTAGTTTTTTTTTTTTTTTTTGAAGGTTGGGGTCTCACTATGTTGCCCAGACCATTCTCAAACTCCTGGGCTCAAGAGACCCTCCCACCTCAGCCCCTCAAGTAGCTGGGATTACAGGTATGCATCACTGCATTTGTATACCTGGCTGCCCCCCACCTCCTCTCCTTTTTAAAAATTTATGTTTTACTTTTCAATTTTATGTGTATGAGTGTATTGCCTTCATGGATGTAAGTGCATCCCTGTCATGCAGTGCCCTAGGAGGTCAAAAGAGGGCATCAGATTCCCCTGGAGCTGAAGTTACAGCTGGCTGCCATGTAGGTGCTGGGAATCAAACCCAGGTCCTCTGCAAAAGCAACCAGTGCTCTTAACTGCTGAGCCAGTCCTCTCTAGTCCTCCTCCCCTCCCCACTTTTTAAAAAATTTTGTTATTTTTATTTTATGTGTATGCGTGTATTGCCTGCATGTAGGAAAGTGTACCTGTGTTGTGCAATGCCGGCGGAGGTCAGAAGAGGCTGTCAGATCCCCTGGGACTAGAGTTATGGACAGTTGTTAGCTGCCATGTGGGTGCTGGGATTTGAACCTGGGTCTTCTGCAAGAACAACCAGTGTTCTTAACAGCTGAACCATCTCTCCAGCCCCTCCTCCTCCCTTTTTAAGACAGGGTCTCACTATGTAGCCCTGGCTGACCTGGCACTCACTGTGTAGACCAGGCTGACCTCGAACTCACAGAGATTTGCCTGCTTCTGCCTTTTGAGTGATGAGATTAGAGACGTGTGCCACCGTGCCCTGCCATTATTTTTTTGTTATTGTTCATATATCCCAGACTGGCCTTGAGCTCAATATATAGCCAAGGATGGCCTTGAACTTTCAGCTCTTTTGACTCTACCTCCCCAGTTCTGGGCTTACAGGCGTGTACCACCAAGCCAAGTTATATGCAGAGCTGGGAATCAAACCTAGGACATTATGCATGCTAGGCAAGCACTCTACCAACTGAGTTACAGCCCCAAGCAGGCCTGTGTCATTTTTATTTTGTTTTTAAAGACTTTAGAACTTTGTGTGTGTGGGTACATGTTTTAATGTGTTTGCGCGCGCGCGCGTGTGTGTGTGTGTGTGTGTGTGTGTGTACAGACATGTGGAAGCCAGGCATCAGCTTGTGGAGTTTACTTCTTTTTCACCATGTGAATTTCCGGGATCAAACTCACACCATCAGTGCTTTTCCCACAGAGTCATCTAGTTCCCTAGCTTAGTTTCTGAGACAGGGTCTCTCACCTAACCTAGAGCTCACTGATTAGCTAGACTGGCTGGCCGGAAAGCCAGAGGGAGGCTCTTTCTCCACCTCCCCAGTGCTGGGATTATGCAGCTGTGAAAGAAGGCCACTCTGCCAGTCTGTGTCCCTGAGACTGCATCTTTGAGCTCTTGAGTCTTGGGCTGGGGCCTCCTCCGACCTCACACAGCCTCAGGAAGTGGGACCTGGGGCTCTGCTGGTTTCAGGCCATCGCAGTCCATAGGCCTGTGGTACATGTGTCCCTCCCTCTGTGCAGGTTTTTTGGTACGAAGTGGATGATGTTCCTAGCCGTGGGTATCTACGCCCTCTTTGTCTCTACCAACTACTGGGAGCGTTATTACACACTTGTGCCCTCTGCAGTAGCCCTGGGCATGGCCATCGTTCCTCTCTGGGCCTCCATGGGCAACTACATCACCAGGTAACCCTGGTGGGCAGCGGGCAGAGGCTGAAGAGCCGCCTGAGTCTCCACTTCTCTGTCAACTTTAGCCAGGGGACCCCAGACAGACCTCTTACTCTGCTGGGTCTCAGTTTCCCCATTGGGGCTGACTAGCCTGTAGCTGTGGGTACAGGAAGTGGAGGCGTGGCGGAGGGCAGGCTGGGGAAAAGCCTTTGCTCTTTGTGGTGCAGGATGTCTCAGAAGTACTACGAATACTCCCACTACAAGGAGCAGGATGAGCAGGGGGCTCGGCAGCGACCACCACGGGGCTCCCACGCGCCCTATCTCCTGGTCTTCCAAGCCATCTTCTACAGCTTTTTCCATGTGAGCGCCACACAGGACACTGGGGAGCTGGAATGATGCTCCGATTCCACCGGGGAGTCCACAGTTCCTAGCCCTGGGAGGCATCTTTGTTTCCTGAGTCAAGCTCTGCTTGTTTGATGCCTGCTTGTCTATGGTGACCAGGAGGAAGTTCTCCTACCTTGGGCGACCTGTCGGCACTAGGCTGTCCCCAGAGCTGAGAGGACTTCTCCCCCATCTCAGGCTGTGCCCAGACTCATCCCAGACCTCACCTCCTGTCTGGTTCTGTGTCTGAGCACATACCCTCTCACCCACAGCTGAGTTTTGCCTGTGCCCAGCTGCCCATGATTTACTTCCTGGACTTCTACCTGTACGACCTGAACCACACACTGTACAACGTGCAGAGCTGCGGTCAGTCCTGGTGGGTGGGGCAAGGGGAGGGTCCCAAAAGCCCGCTTTTCTCCTACATTCAGTCACCCAGTAGACACTGGGCCTTCCCCTTCAGGTTCCGGGGCTGCAGGTCCAGCATCCCGTGGCTCTGGTTCAGAAAGGCCCAGAGCCCAAGAATAAGAAGTTAGACATGTGACACACCATAGTGGGACCAGCAGCCGGGGGTGGTGTTGGGGAAGAATGCAAGGGGGAAGTGCCTTCTGGGTTGGGGCTGTCCAGTGTCATCTCCCTGAGGGCCAGCCTTACAGTCAGGGCACAGACAGTACAAGGAGGTGGGAGGTGGGTGGTGCCCGTCCCCAATCTGCTCTTCAAAGGACCTTGCTGGAAGAGCCCTTGCCTGCCCCCCTGCCCCACCTCCTCTGTGTCCTGGTGGCTGTATACCCTTATATTGTGTCTCACGATGCCTGTCCACCCACCCTTCCCAGGCACTAAGAGCCACGGCATCCTGACTGGCTTCAACAAGACGGTTCTGCGGACGCTGCCGCGTAGCCGAAACCTCATAGCGGTGGAGAGCGTGCTCATGGCGGTGGCCTTCCTGGCCATGCTGGTGGTGCGGCTCGGGATGGTGGGGAGGAGGCGGTGGGAGCAAGCCGTTCGCTCCCTCCAGGGCTTGCACGGTGGGGTCAGGTCAGGTTGCAGCCTAGGAGCTTAAGAGTCAGGACTGGATTCTGGATCTGGCTGATGCCTATGGATCAAGGCTGGAGATGGGACGAGAGGGAGAGCTGGTTGTGACCTGGGAGGAGACTCGGAGCTCCGTCCAGAATCCTGGGCTGGAAAGTGCGTGGGCCTGAGGGCAGCGCTGGAGGGCAGGGGGCGTGACAGGGGGCGTGGCCGAGATAAGGGCGTGGCCTAGGTGGAGAGGCCGGGCGAAGGGGAATGCAGTGCTGGAAAGTGCGTGGGCCTGAGGGCAGCGCTGGAGGGCAGGGGGCGTGACAAGGGGGCGTGGCCTAGATAAGGGCGTGGCCTAGGTGGAGAGGCCGGGCGAAGGGGAATGCAGCCAGGCAAGGCTCAGGCCTGTGGGTGTGTCTGGGGAGGGCCCATTAGACTGAAGCCTTGTGGGTAGTCTGGGAAGGAGACTTCGGGGTGGTGTGTTTGGGGGCGGGGCCTCCCTGGGGTTGCAGGCCTGGGGTTGCAGGCCTGGGGTTGCACTGCAGGCCTGGGGTTGCAGGCCTGGGGTTGCACTGCAGGCCCGGGGTTGCACTGCAGGCCTGGGGTTGCAGGCCTGGGGTTGCACTGCAGGCCCGGGGTTGCACTGCAGGCCTGGGGTTGCAGGCCTGGGGTTGCACTGCAGGCCTGGGGACGTCTGGCTCATCCCATCACCGCCCCTGTCCGCAGGTGCTGGGCCTGTGTGGCGCGGCTTACCGGCCCACGGAGGAGATCGACCTGCGCAGCGTGGGCTGGGGCAACATCTTCCAGTTGCCCTTCAAACACATGCGTGACTTCCGCTTGCGCCACCTGGTGCCCTTTTTTATCTACAGCGGCTTCGAGGTGCTCTTTGCCTGCACTGGTATCGGCCTGGTAGGTACAGCCTGCCGGGGGTTGCCCCTAAGATAAGGCGTCTGGCTAGTCTTAATTTCAGACGAACAGAAAATACGAGTATGCATGTGTGCAAGTATGTCCTAAATACTTCCCTCCGTTTCTCTCTTCCCTCATTGCCCTTTACCTTGGACAAGTCATTTTAAGGTGTTTTTTTTTTTTTTTTTTTAAATTATGTGTGAGTGTTACGTCTGTATGTGTGTAAGTGTCGTGCAGTACCCACAGAGGACAGGAGAGGCATTGGATCCCCTGGAACTGGAGTTACAGATGGTTGTTAGCCGCCATGTGGGTGCTGGGATTCGAACCTGGGTCTTCTGCAAGAAAAGCCAGTGCTCTCAACCACCGAACCATCTCTCCAGCCCCCATTTTAAGGTTTTTTGTAGTTAAACATGGATGACATCTGTGGAGCATGGTTGGGGAGCAGAGCCCTTGGTGTCTGCAGACACAGTCCAAACATTTTTGGATCGTCTCCATCCCTTTCTACCAGGTTTTCAGGGAGTTAGCACCAAGAGGTCGGGAGAGGGCAGGAGACTAACATGTTATCTGGTGTGGGGAGGGCCAGGGCCTGGGCCACCTGACCTCTGGTACTCTCCTCCTCAGAGCTACGGAGTGTGCTCCGTGGGACTGGAGCGGCTGGCCTACCTGCTCATAGCTTACAGCCTGGGTGCCTCAGCTGCCTCTGTCCTGGGTCTGCTTGGATTGTGGCTGCCACGTTCTGTACCTCTGGTGGCTGGGGTGGGGCTGCACCTGCTGCTCACATTCAGCCTCTTTTTCTGGGCCCCTGTGCCTCGGGTCCTGAAACACAGCTGGATCCTCTATGCAGTAGCCGCCCTCTGGGGTGTGGGCAGTGGCCTGAACAAGATGGGACTGAGCAGTGAGTACAGCTGTGGATGCTGGGGTGGCTTATGGGGGTTCATGTGTGGCCACCTGTAGGTGGCTTGTGGGGGTTGACATCCCATGGACGCAGGATCTGCCATGGTGTTCCGTGGACCTGATAGACAGGGACTGCTGAGGACAGCTTGGGGTGGAAGGAGTCCTGTGGATACTAAGCAGATGGGGAAGTCCCATGACACCCTGGAGGAGTGTAGGAGTTCCATGCTGCAGACATTCTGTGGACATTCAAGGTGGGTGTCTCATTGAGAGGACCTGTGTGAGATCTTGTGGATACACAGGGTGGATGTGGAGTCTGTGAACAGGCTTGGTATGTAAAAACACATACCAGGGCTGGAGCAGAAGTGACTCAGTGGTTAAGAGGACCAGAGGTGGTTCAGTTCCCAGCACCCACTTAAGGTGGCTCCCAACCACCTGTAACTCCAGCTCCAGGGGATCTGATATCCTCTTCTGGCCTCTGTGGGAACCCATACTCATGGCATACACACACAGACACACACACACATACATACATACACACACACTCACACACAAATAAAAATTAATCTGGGCTGGAGAGATGGCTCAGCAGTTAAGAGCACTGACTGCTCCTGTAGAGGATATGGGTTCAGTACGCAGCACCCAAAGGGCAGCTAACAACCACCTGTAGCCCAGTTTCAGGGGATCTGGTGCCCTCTTCTGGCCTCCACAGGCTTTGCGTGACACAGGTGCACTTACATATATGTAGGCAAAACATTCATACACATAAAAATAAATAAAACAAAAGTTAAATAAATCTTTTTAAAAATATTTTATTTATTTTTTATTTATGCATATGAGTGTATTGCCTGCATGTATGTAAGTGTGCCCATGTCATGCAACACATGAGAGCAATGCCTGCAGAGGCCAGAAAAGGGTGTTGGATCCCTTGGAACTGGAGTTATAGATGGTACTGGGAATTGAACTCGGTTCCTCTGCAAGAAAAGTCAGTGCTCTTAACTGCTGAGCCATCTCTCCAGCCACTAAATAAATCTTTTTACCTTTTTGTTGTTTAAAAAAAATTTTTTTTGGTCTTTTTGAGACAGGGTCTCCCTGTAGCCCCAGCTGTCCTGGAACTCACTATGTAGACCAGGCTGGCCTTGAACTCACAGAGATCCACCTGCCTCTGCCTCCCAAGTACTGGGACTAAAAGCGTGGGCCACCACGTCTGGCCCGTAAAAATCATTTTTATTTGGGGGCTGGAGTGATGGCTCAGTGGTTAAGAGCACTGGCTACTCTTTCAGAGGACCCAGGTTCAGTTCCCAGCACCCACATGGTGGCTAACAACCATTTATAACGCCAGTTCTAAGGGCTCTGACACCCTCTTCTGGCCTCCTCAGGCAGTGCATGTACATAGTGCACTTACATACATGTAGGCATAACACTTATACACATAAAAATAAACAGCCGGGCGTGGTGGCACATGCCTTTAATCCCAGCACTTGGGAGGCAGAGGCAGGTGGATCTCTGTGAGTTCAAGGCCAGCCTGGTCTACATGGTGAGTTCCAGGACAGCTGGGGCTACAGGGAGACTCTGTCTCAAAAAGACAAAATAATAATAATAATATTTTACAATTTTTTACGTTTTATTTTATTTTTATGTATGAATGTTTTGTCTACAAGTATGTAAGTGAACCACATCCGTGCAATGCCCATGGAGAACAGAAGGGCATCAGATTCCCTTGAACTGGAATTACAGATGGTTGTTAGCTTACATGTGGGTACTGGGAACCGAACATGGGTCCTTTGCAAAAGCAGTCAGTGGTCTTAACTGGCGAGCCATCTCTCCAGCCCCTGTTGTTATTTTTGAGACAGGGTCTCCTTGTGGCCCTGGCTGTCCTGGAACTTGATATGTAGACCTGGCTGTCCTGGTTCTCCAGAGAGCTGCTTGTCTCTACCTCCTGAGTGCTGGCATTAAAGGCATCCACTGCTACGCCTGCCCCCCTTTTCTTAAAAATAAATCTTAAAGCCGGGCATGGTGGTGCACGCCTTTAATCCCAGCACTCGGGAGGCAGAGGCAGGCTTAAATAGATGATAGATAGATAGATAGATAGATAGATGATAGATGGATGGATGGATGGAATGATAGATAGATCTTTAAAAACACCCATATGGCAGCAGTCGAGGTCTGTGTTGAATTGTTTCTGGGGCACTAGGAGAGGATAGCAGGCCCTTAGAGGGGCAGGTGTCCGGCCCACGTTCCAGGTCCAGGTGCAGAACTGACTCCGTCCCTTTTCTTCTCTTCATTGTAATTTTTTTTACTTCTATTTACTTATTTTTTTTGAGACAGGGTCTTACTATGTAGACGTGAGAAAGGGGTCCTGCCTGCAGAAGGCTGGGTGGGCCAGGCTCTAGCTGTGTAGAACTGTCTGGTTTCAGGTGGGCACATGATAGTGACACGCAGCTGGTTCACATGGCCACAGCTGTGTCAGTGACCCTTGTTGGCCCCTATTCTGATGGTCCTGTCCTATGCTGTTGACGGGTTTCACTGTCACTCCTGGGCCCCAGGTGGGAGTGCTCACGTCCTGAGCCTGGCAAAGATGTCAATAGCAGTGGCTCCCACTGCCTGTCAGGTGCTGTGTGGCTTTCTTACTTTAGAGCTTCCTAACCCAACATGCAATATATGTAAGCTCGTTTCACAGTTGGGAAAATCAGTGTTGGGGATTAAGTGCCTCACCCCAAATCACCTGTAGAGCCAGCATTTGAAACCCTGAACCTTCCAGTCCTGAATGCTGGGAGCCATGACTTTGTCCAGTGCTCTTCCTCCACCTCCTTGAAATGATTCTTCAGGAAACAAGCCCCTCTCTCCTACACTTCGGCTTTGAGTTGTAGAAAGTTGATCTCTGTGTTTGTTCTCCAAGCCCCTGGTGAGGGAGAGAAGAGCAACTGAACACTTGCCATGTTGTGTGCCTGGGGTCAAAGGCAGGTGCTTGAACATAAAGCTTTCCTTTCCTGAAGTCACCTCACCTGTGTCCCCAGTGGAGGTCAGCCTGCACCTGCTGCAGCCACATCCTGACAGCGTAGTAACCAAAGTTTCCACTAGGGGGCAGGCAAGGATCAGTGCATAGTCCCTAGGTACTCAGGTGGAGAGAGCCAAGGCACAAGGCCTTGGAAGAGCCTCGGGCTGGAGATCAGCAGCCCTGGGCACTGGTGACCCTTACCCATCTCAACCCTTACCTGTCCCATCTGCTTACAGCGCTCCTAGGGATCCTATATGAGGACAAGGAGAGGCAGGACTTCATCTTCACCATCTATCATTGGTGGCAGGCCGTGGCCATCTTTGTTGTGTACCTGGGCTCCAGCCTGCCCATGAAGGTGAGATGCTGTGAGTACGGGCCCCATGTCTCACCAGAAAACAGCTCCTTTCTTTATAGCCCTCTAAAAGGTACCACTTCCCAAGGGTCAGACATTGAGCCTAGAGTACCTTAGTTCATGGGGTCCCCCTAACCCAGCACCCCACTTACTGCCTCACCCGCTAGCCTCTATCTAAAGGGATTCATACTTTGGTCTTTCCTTGTGCATCTGAGCCGTGTGTCGTCTGGTCACCTGCGCATCAGCTGCTGGATGCCCTGAGCCTCCCTGGTGGTTTTATGTTCTGTTGTTTTTGTTGCTTCTTTATGGCACTAGACGTGGAACCCAGGCCCATGTACACAAGCACTCTACCACTGAGTCTACAGTTTACTCTCCAACCCCAGCGGGTCATTTTAGCACGTCCTGACCCACATGTTTTGTTCTGTTTGTTTCTTTGGATCTGAGTCTGAAAGGAGCCCAAACTGACCTTGAACTCATCCTACCTCAGTCTTCTGTGTTCTGGTATGTACTAACTTGCCCACCTTTGAGCAACATTTTTTTGTGTGTGTCATTTTGAGACACGGTCTCCCTGTAGCCCCAGCTGGCCTGGAACTCACTGTGTAGACCAGGCTGGCCTCGAACTCACAGAGATCCACCTGCCTCTGCCTCCCGAGTGCTGGAATTAAAGGCGTGCGCCACCACTCCTGGCAACATTTTTTAAAAATATTTTTTAATTGAGATTTTGTACATTTCATACAACAGTTCTTAATCAAATTAAGACCCTCCCCGTCCGTACCCCCGTCCACTGGGCCTCACATAGTCTGCCATACATGTTAAGTCCCATCCAGTCAAGCATTCTACCCAGATGTCTTTTGGTGCAAGTTTATCCACTGGAGTCTATTCAGCCTGTCTATAGATATTAAGGAAGTTCTACCCTCCTCACCCAGCAGTAATCAGTCTCCAACACTTCTCAGGCGAGGGCTGGCCTGCCACCCGCATCTCTTGAGCCACTCTGGGCCCTTGTCTAATTGAGTTGACATGGGTCTTGTGCTCGATGCTACCATTGCCACAAGTTCACTTGATTCCCTTTTTTAAACACTTTGTGAGGTTAAGAAACACTCTGCTCAGGTTCATAGCAGCTATCCTTGAATAAGATGTCCCTAGTTGAAAATGAGCAACGTTTTTAAAATGTGAAATAGAGGGGCAGGAGAGATAACTCAGCAATTAAGAGCACTTGCTGTTCTTGCAGAGGACCTGGGTTAGATTCCCAGCACCTATATGGAGGCTAACAACCATCTGTAATTCCAGATCTGACGCCCTCTTCCGGCCTCTTTGAGCACTGCACATACGTGGTGCACATACATGCAGGCAAACACTTACTCATACACATAAAAAATTAAAGTAAATAAAACTTTAAAAGTGAAATAGAATAGAAAATATGCACACAAATATGTGCACAATGGTTTCTGACTGGATCACAGTCAGAATGTCTGGAAAGGAAGTGGGAGCACAGCTCGGGGTAGAGCACTTCCTAGCACATATAAACGTGTACATAGCTCATCCCAGAACTTGAAAAAAGAAAGACTGGAAAGTGTCACCAGCCTTATTGTAGTAGATTTTTGCTGTAGTTTTGGTTTTTGTGAGACACTGTCTCAAAATGTAGCCCCAGCTGTCTTTGATCTCACTAGGTAGCCCAGGCTGGCCTTGAACTCTTGGGAATCCCTCCATTTCATGGGTCCTACTGTGTTTAGAAGACAGAAAAATGATTTAACCATGGTCCAGAGGAGTCAGACTTGTTTCCAGACTTTATCAGCCCTCAACCTTTCTTTGCCAGGCAGAGGGAAGCAAAGAGATTATCATACCAGACCTTTTCAGGTCCTAAAACAGGCCAGGCTGAGTTTGGTGACTTTAACAGACAATTGTTGAGATTTGAGCCTTGTTCCCAGAGGTTGCCTGGGAAACCTGGTGGGGAAGGCTGGGAGGAAGGTGAGGGCCAGAAGGTAGGTGACAGGAGGCTCCTGGGGTCGGGGAGGTAGGACCCAGAGGAGAACTTGTGGACAGAGTCCGAAGTGGAAATGGGTAAAGGAGTCTCCTCACCGTAACCTTTCTTCCAGGTCAAACTAGCAGTGTTGCTGGTGACCCTGGTGGCCGCTGTGACCTCGTACCTGTGGATGGAGCAGAAGTTGCGGCAGGGTCTGACCCCACGTCAGCCACGCATTCCTCGACCCCAGCACAAAGTTCGGGGTTACCGCTACCTGGAGGAGGACAACTCGGATGAAAGTGACACAGAAAGCAAGCACGGCCAGGGGGACTGCGCGGAGGAGGAGGTGCCGGCCGGGCCCGTGGGCACTGAGCCTGCAGGTCCTTGCCGCAGGCCCTGCCCCTATGAACAGGCACTGGGTAGTGATGGGCCTGAGGAGCAGTGAGGAACCTCAGGAGTCCGCCTTACCCTCTAACGCAGCCCTCCTACTCTCCTGCCTCAGTTTCCCATGTCTTGCATTGAAGGTCCCCCTCTGATCTGTCCCAGAGCCTGGGGTTACCTGGAAGTTCCTTAACCCTCTCCACTAGGAGGTCAGGCTGCCCTCCAGGACCCCTGCCCTGCAAGTCCCAGCCTGGAACAGCAAGGTCACTCCCCTGCAAGCCACACCCCCAGGTCACTCCCTTCTGCCTCTGTTGCTATGGGTGTGGACAGCCTTTGACTCGAACTTTGCTCTTTCTACCCCAGGTCTGCCCAAAGGTACACTTTTTTATATAGAGAGGTAATGAATAATAAAGTTTTATATTGTCTAAAGAGGGTCTGGGGTGTTCTGGTTGACCCTGCCCCAGTTCCCCACCCCTCCCCACAGAGCAGAATCCTTGGTTGATTGTGAGGAGGGTCCAGTCACCCCAGCTGGGAGGCATCCCTTCTAAGCCCTGCCCAGAAACTGTCTCTCCTCCCAGGCCTCACCCCCTCCCCGACCCACCAGCTGCACCTCACCCACTCAGGAGAGATGGGTCACAGGAATGGCTCACAGAGACCTCAGAAGAGCCTAGAAAACAGGAATGACACTGGAGGCCCCCCCTTTCCCTCCAGGTGACCAGCGCCAGCAGCCCCCCAGCCTAGCCTCTCTGTCTTCTGCGGGGTGTCCGTCCTGAGTGCTCAACGGGTGCCTTTGGCAGAGGAGCCCCCTTCTTAGCAGATTTTGGGTCACCTGTGCCCAGTAGGGGCCTGAGAAATGGTTGTTGGACTTGGTCACTGTCCCTTTCAGTGATAGCCTCAGTCAGGATGCCCAGACATGCAGAGGCCGGCGGAGGGGCCTGACCCCCAGTGGCCCTGTCAGTGTGCTTTCTTCAGCTCCACCCTACCCCTGCCAGAGGAGACGGACCCACTGTAGAGAGCTCTGAGTGGCTGGATGAGGACAAGGGAAGTGTGGGAGAGTCATCTGGTCCCCAGCTGCGGAACCACACTACTTCCTCTCCTTGGGTCCCTTAACCCCAGGCTGAAGGCCACACCCTGGTCTCTACCTCTCAGCCCCACATCAGCTCCCACCTCCCCTGATCCACTCCATCTCTTTGATTCTCTAGCCATCCCTGGAACCAGGCACTATTACCTTGCAAGGAGTCTGGGCCCCAGGTTCCTTCTCTGTGGAGTGTATCTCTGTAAGAGCTCAGCATGGTGCTCCAAGATCCCCAGGCCCTGGAAGAAACTCCCAAGGACACAGCAGATTTTTTTTTTTTTTTACATATTTTTCTTTTTAAGACAGGGTTTCACTATGTAGACCAAGCTGACCTTGAACTCACAGAGATCCTCCTGCCTCTACCTCCTGAGTCAGCAAGAGATTTTTAAGTTTTCTTTTTCTGATTTATTTATTTTTATTTTATGTCTATGAGTGTTATGTCTACATGTATGTGCACCCCTGTTGTGAGTGCCTGAGGAAGATAGAAGAAGGAGTCAGTCCTCTGGGACTGGAGTTATGGACAGTTGTTAGCTGCCATGTGGGTGCTGGGATTTGAACCCAAGTCTTCTGCAAGAGCAGCCAGTGCTCTTAACCACTGAGTCATCTCTCCAGCAAGATTTTAGAGGAAAGCAGCGTATCTTTCACACATTGACAAACAGACCAGAAATGGCCACGCTTGCTCAATGGCTGATCTCAGTCCAGGTGTGATCACACGGGCCTGGAATCCCAGCGCTTGTAGGGGGGAGACTGGAGGATTGCTTCAAGTTCAGGCCACTCTAAATTACATAGTGAGCTCAAAACCTTGTCTGCTCATCTCCAAAGCAAGGCTTGAGGCTAACCTGGACAACATCAGAAAACTGTCTCAAAACAAAACAAACAAAAATACCCAAACCCAAAGAAAACAGGGAAACACTCTCTGGGGCAAGTGTGGTAACAACCTGGTGGAAGATTCTAGTCTGAGTTGGGACTCAGACTCTGGATACAGAACGTACCACACACAGACACACACGAGTTTACCTCAGTGGGGGTATGCTGGTGCTCACCTGTAATCCCACTATTTGGGAGGCTGAGGCAGGGGAACAGTGAATGTGATTTTAAGGTCAGCCTGGGCTACAGAGTGAGACTCTATCTCAAAAAATGAAAGAGCTGGGCATGGTGGCGCAGGTCTTTAATCCCAGCACTTGGCAGGCAGAGCCAGGTGGATCTCTATGAGTTCAAGGCCAGCCTGGGGCTACAGGAAGATTCTGTCTCAAAAAGACCAAAAAAAAAAAAAAAGAAAGGAAGGAAGGAAGGAAGGAAGGAAGGAAGGGCCTTTAATCTCAGCACTCAGGCAGGGGAAGCAGAAACAGATAGATCTTTGTGAATCTGAGGTCAACCTGGGCTACATAGCGAGTTTCAGTCCAGCCAGGGCAACACAGTGAGACTGTCTTTAAAAAAGAAAGAATGGAAGAAAGGAAAAAAATTAAGGAAGTGGGGAAGGAAAAAGAGAGGGAGAATCTACTCAGATAACACCACTGTTAAGATCTGGCCAAGCTAGATGGTGTGTACGTGAGTATTTGTGCTGTTCTTTATATGTTTGCATTTTTTAAATAAATAAAAATTTTATTTTTAATTATGTGTGTGTGTGTGTGTGTGTGTGTGTGTGCTGGACATGGTAGTATATGCCTTTAAACTCAGGGCTCAGGAGACAGAGACAGATGGATCTCTGTGAAATCAAGGCCAACCTGGTCTAGTGAGTTCCAGGCCAGCTAGGGCTACAGGGAGACCTTTCTCAAAACAACAACATTATCTGTGTGTATGAGTGTGTGTGTGTGTGTGTGTGTGTGTGTGTGTGTGTGTGTGTGTGTGTTACCCAGGGAGGCCAGAAGAGAACATCAAATCTCCTGAAGCTGGAGTTACAGGTGGTTGTAAGCTACCAGATATGGGTACTCGGAATCAAACTCAGGTCCTCTGAAAAAGCTGCAGGAACTCTTAACTGCTGAGCCATCACCCTAGCCCCATTCTTTATAGATATATGATGATAGATTAGATAGATAGATGATAGATAGATAGATGATAGATAGACAGATGATAGATAGATATCTATATCTAATCTATATCATCTATATCTATCCTAGTTTGTTCTTCATTGCTGTGACAAAATATTCTGACCAATACCAACTTGGGGAGGAAAGGGTTTATTTACCTTACATCTCCCAGGTCACAGTTCATCAGGGAGCCCAAGGTAGGAACTCAGGACAGGAACCTGGAGGCAAGAGCTGGAGCACAAGCCATGGAGGAATGCTACTTATTGGCTTGCTCTCGTGGCCCCTGCTCAGCCTGCTGTCTTATGCAACACAGGCCCACCTGCCCATGGGTGGCACCACTCACAGCGGGCTGGGCCCTCCTACATCACTCAACAATCAAGAAGACATGGCCACAGGCCAGTCCTATGGAGGCAATTCCCCAACTGAGGCTCCCTCAACCCAGGTATGTCGAGTTGACACTAAAGCGATCCAGCACTATATGTATGTAAGTGTACCAGTGTCATGCAATGCCCTTGGAGGTCAGAAGAGGGTGTTGGATCCCCTGAAACCTGAGTTATAGATGGTTATTAGCTGCCATGTGGGTGCTGGGAATCAAATCTGGGTCCTCTGCAAGAGCAGCCAGTGCTCTCAACTGCTGAGCCACTACTCCAGCCCCTATTCTTTATGTTTTAAACACCAAAATATTGCATAAAGCATAAAGGAAAATAAAGATTTTAAGTGTTTCAAATCTTGGATTCTTTGTATTCTATCATTTATAAGAGCTTGGATCAAATCAGGATTTTCTCCATGGGTCCAAGATTCTAAAGTTCATTGGTTCTAGAAATTTCACAAGCTTCAGTACCTCTGCTTGCCTCCCACAGCTTCCTGGGGCCTGACAGGAGGTGCCCTTGGATGCTCACATCCAAGGTCTGAGATTCTGGCCAACAAGATATCACGTGACTCCCACCACAGGCAGCTGCCTTGGGACCTGGGGCTCTTTGGCAGGAGGTGAGGGCTTCTCACATCACAGCTGTGTCTACCTTTCCACCCTGGGACCTCAGTACTTCATCTACCATCGCCCCAAGAAGCTCCTCACCTGATCTGCCTTTTGCCAGGTCTCTAGGCTGGGCATGATGGAATAGGCTTTGAGGCCTTCCTCCACAGCTAGATTCAAAGCTTCTAGGAGCATCCCACCTGACCCATCGGGACCTTCCAGTAACTTCAGGAGACTGGAGTCTTGCTTTCTTTCCCTTCTCTACATTCTATGGATGGTGCATTAGTGTCTTTTCAGTTTGCTGTGATAAAATGTCCTGAAAAAAACAACTTAAGGGAGGAGGGCTTTATTTTGGCTCACAGTTCCAGAGGGACTGTGTCCATCGTGGCAGGGAAAACATGGCGTTAGGAGCAGGAGGCTGACTGGTCCCAAACAGCACCACCAACTGGGGACCAAGTGTTCAAATACATGAGTTTCATGACTGCGCTATCCCAGAAAAGTAGAGGAACAGTTTGTGTAGCAAAAACAATATTGAACAGCAATGAATGCATGGGGTGTAGCAGTTCTAATGCAGCTACACCCCAGATAATTCCACATACCTTGGTAATCTGGCCGAGGCAGATGTAAGTTCTTTTATACTGATCCTAATTACTAACATCAACTCTCAGATCACATATCACCTCATCAATATATCTAGACACGCTGCATATATGTGAGTTATAGAATGAATATAAATTAAAAGAGGCCTTAGCAGCATTTAAGAGGTTTCAGAAGTGGGCTGAGAGATATGCAAATAGAGTCTGATGGGAAAAGGAAAACTGCTCTTTCTGTAGAGTTAGGCCAACAGAGGGCTCAGAGGTTCTAGCAAAGATGTAGCCAGCTGCAGAGACAAAAGGGCAGGACTGGGTTCAGGACAGGAATGGCAGGTCCAGGTCTAAAGGTGAGCATGAATCGGCCACATCAACAATGGGGCACCAGGCCAAGATGAAGCCCCAGGAACAGCCGGGAATTCTCTGCTGGTTGGTCTTTGCTGTACACAGCTGGTGTCAGATGATAGGTTGATGGAACCATGTATGGCATTGCAGGGCTAGGTATCCACCACTTTATGGGGTCCAGGCAAACAAACTCTATCCTTTTATTGGATTGGTGTGTCTGGTAAGTTCTTGGACCTGGTTCGCCTGATATGATTTCTAATATGTTCATGTGTTCCTACAGTCTGTCACCCTGATAAATTTATAGGGCAACATTCTTTTATTTATTTATTTATTTATTTATTTATTTATTTATTTTATTTATTTTTGTCTTTTTGAGACAGGGTCTCCCTGTAGCCTGAGCTGTCCAGGAACTCACTATG